ATGCACAATATTCCATATTGTAATACGTTCCAACGTAGGAGTTGCCGTTGATTTGAAGGCCAGATGTATGTTTGAATGGGAATTCCGCTATGAAGTCTATGTGAACAATTCCTGCTCCATGGGACTTAGTCAGGGTAGACGTCATGCTTAATTACCATTGGTCGGGCAAACAGATAGCCAGCAAAGACTCCGAGCAAGACCAGGGATTTAAAGGGATAGTTTACCCAAAAATAAATTCAGTCACCTGTTGCTCCAAACCTGTATGAATTTGCAGATTTTCACATTTTTGGTGTTCCACAGAACAAAGAAACTCATGCAGGTTTGGAACGACATGAGGGCGAGTAACTAATAATAGAATTTTCATTTTTAGGGAAACTATATCGTTAAAGGTCGAGCCAATGTTGTTATGTTGAGCAGTCATAACTGGTAACTACGGCTTACGTGATATGTCCACTTTAATGTAAGTGGCTTCAGTTTGAAAGTTTCTACTTAGAATGTGAATGTAAATGCAAATGAAGTCTGTGATGTGGACTGATGTGGAAGCGGGTGGGCTTTGGCTCTGGGAGTCATAACCAGGATGTGGTTTAATGTGACAGGTCTGCACTCTTGTGTAAGTCTCCGTCTCTGAAGTTTGTTCTCACTTTCCAGCCGCATGTGGTAAGGATGTAATCCCAGAGGCCTGGAAATGATCTGATCTGAAGACTGAACAAGTACCACACTGACACAGAAGTGACAGTGTTGTTTGCTAACTCTGAATAGAGGCATGGAGTGACTGACACATGGAAATGTGTATTAAAATGTAGGAACACAAATAACTGTCTAATAAGAAGACACGTATACACATATTAGTGTGAAGTAAAATATCAAAACACTGAGACTGCTAAGCTCAGAAGGAATATCAATATCCACCAATATAGTTGGTCTCAAAGCTAACAGATACAGACTGGACACAAACACTCAAGGGCTGGAGATGTGTAACACTTTGTAAATGATGGGTGTTCTAATTCTAAGGGAATCTGCAGTGCTTTCTGCAGATTTCTGTATGCGAAAAAATCTGTGGGCCTGATGGCGACACATAAGAAAGAAAGAAAGACTAATTTTATTAGCATCACCATGCTGCTACTATTCTTTTACCACACACGGATTGTTTTCTAACAATATCAATAAACAGCTTCCAATTTACTCTGTTATGAGCTCTGCTTCACAGAAGAAAATCTGTATGCGTTTCGATACAGAACTCTTCTGACATCTGTTCAGGATGTGTCTGTCTTCCTATGTTATAGTAATGTATATTATAATAAGATGTATGAAATAGTCATGCAAGCTCACAATCAGACTGTGACGAAAGCTTGGGCTGCAGATCGTGTTGCATGTAGTTGCTTTAGACAGTTTTTACCAAATTATGCATCTTACAATACTGGAAAATACTGCAAACTGCCAAATTATTCCCAAGCAAACTTCCATATACAGATACCTGGATATGAGAGCAGGAAAAAAATAGCACAGCAGCAAAAGATGTAAGTCTGACACATTTATCAAAAAAATGCAGATGCAATACATTATCACGTTTTTATACTCAATATGCAATATGTCACATTGAAAATTAATGCAGATCAATCTAAAAGTAAAACTAGCCAACGTGACAGTGCACAGAACATAAATTGATCTTCACAGTGCAACATGACATGCTAGTGTTAATTTTATGTTTGCGCATATGACTGGTTATGTTTTATGTGCATATTACAAAAGAAACTGCACGAGAAAATATACCATAACACATTATAGGTTACATTTATAGAATGTAATTCCACAGCTTGGTTATGATGGTAATTTTATTTTCACAATAAACAAATTATAACATATCGTGCACCTCAACTCAAACTTCAAAAATAAATGATAGATTACACTACTGTTCAAATGTTTGGGGTTGGAATTTTTTTTTAATGGTTTTGAAAAAACATTTATTTGATCAAAAATACAGGAAAATCTGTTATATTGTGAAATATTACTACAGCTTGAAAAGACTATTATTTTAATATGTAATTTAGTCCTGTGATACAAAGCTGAATTTTCAGCATTATTACTCCAGTCTTGTAACATGATCCTTCAGAAATCATTCTAAATTCTGCTCAAAATGCACTTTCTTTGATTAATAGAAAGTTGAAAAAAAAAAACATTTATTTTAAATATTTTTTTGTAACATTATAAACGTCTTCACTGTCCCTTTTGTTTAATTTAATACATCCTTGCTAAATAAAAGTATTAATTTCTTTGAAAAAAAAAATATCCTACTGACCCCAAACGTTTGAACGGTTGTGTAATTATTTACTTATTTATTTAAATATTAATTTATATTAATAAAATATAAAATATTTATTTATTTTAATATATATATATATATATATATAATGGCTATATATGGGCTTGTAGCCCAAAATATATACAAACATATAGATACATGAAATAAATTAATTTAGGTAACAAAGGAATTATTATTAATTCCACAAACTTTTCTAATCAATTACATATCTTGGTCTTGTGCTGATAGGGGGTTCTGACCTCCTATCTATAAGGCTGACATAATGAATTCACCTCAAATCAGAGATCCCACATCGGGCACTGGGAAATGTGTTTTACATTTTCCTTGAAAACAATCCAAATGAAAACAGCACAGAGGCATGTCTGCCCGAGAGAAAAGACCTACAGATGAGTTATCTTACAATCTCACTGCTCAGTCTTTAGCTCTACACTATCTACATGCATTTAGCAAATCCATTTATGCCACTCTAATGCTTGTGGTCTTATGTGTTCCAGGTGGAAGGACCAAAGGCAAATGTTTGCTAAAAGGTACTTCAGATCCGAAAAGGATTGAACTAAGAAATATATTGAGATTTCGTGGATTTCATGGAACATTGTGTAGGAAATTGTGAATGACTTGCTAACACACACACACACACACACACACACACACACACACACTCACACTCACACTCACAGACTAAAACTTGCTCTGGCACTGCATGACGCATTCTCTTACCTGCGTTCCTGAGAAAATTGCCATCATAGTCTTTGACGACTCTAGTGCTGGGATCATAAAAGCCATCGCCGCTGTCATAGCAACCATCAGGGATGGCCCGCAGGGGGTCCCGATCAGTTAACTGGGATTCTCCTATTCAAAGACATGCTGAGACTTATTTTCTTTCTTATAATTTTAGAGAATCGTGCTGCTTAGCTGTAAATGATCACACACAATAATTCCAATAATTTCAACCATACCTGCTGGTTTGAGGCCATCACACCTCTCAGAGTAGAACCGCCTGTCTTTGCCATCACAGTAATCCCAGCCCGTCTCTTTATACTCCAGGCCATCAGAAAATGTGTACTTTCCCTATGTGTAACAAAAACATTTAGTCCAAGCATTTACTTAACGCACATTTAAAAATGTCATTGCATTAAATACAAAATATCAAATCAAGTGTCATCTGTTCAAATGCACTCAATAGCAAAGTAACCACACGTGTAGCTCATTACATCAGCTATCAACATGACCCATTAAATGTTTACAACCAGAAAGTGTTACAAATTACAATACTTTTTGTCTTCTGATTTTGATCAGTATATATATTATTTTATTATTGTTAATATTTTAGAATATATTTTCGATACGTTGTTTGTTAGATATCAAATATATCGAGTTATTAACATGATTATTATTATTAACATTAGGAGGAGGGAAAGACCTCTTTGCATATTCCTTTCTCCCAAGTTCCCTCATATTTGCTTCCATTGGGGAAACGCAGCACTCCTTTCCCATGGAACATGCCGTCTTTCATCTCTCCGACATATCTGGTGTGAGTTGGAAGTGTGTATTCGCCCGTCCCCTCCATCCTTTGAAAAACATGTGATGAGAGGAAATTAGACAGTTTAATTGACTTCTTCCTTATTCTTAAAATGACTGTATCTTTAGAATCACAATAGTACTGCTAAACTGATTGTGAACATTATTGTTATATTATACATTATTGTTTTTGTTACTTGAAACATAATGAGTCATATTTAAAATATGGCATGACACTTGATTAGTCAGTCATGAAAAACAATTCAAATATTCAGGAAATCACATATAAAAGACATAATTCCATAACCTTACAATTCATGAAATAATATGAAATAGTTTCACTTTATATTATTTTATGCATTTAAAATGTATATACATAAATATTTAATTTACCAGATGCCTGAAAGAATCATAGTGCACTTATTTGGTCTAGCACTTATTACATTTAAAGTTATTTATATATTATTCACTTTGTTTTATGAATGTGATTTGTATGTATATGTAATATATACATGTATTTGTGAAGACCTTTCAATTCAATTCAATTAGCTTTATTGGCATGACAAAAGCACATTTTGCATTGCCAAAGCATAGGAAAAGAGAACATATACAACAGTGTAATTTGGAACAATATAGCAACTGAAATAACATTTGAACAAGTAATATTGCAAGAATCCTTTCTCTCTCTAGCTTTACTCATGAAGGTATCATTAAAAACGGGAAACATCGTATACAATATTACATAACAAGTGTATGGCACTCCCATAAACTTAGATTCAAATGATAGGGCATATAAATGTCATCAGCTATCATTAAAAGTTGATTTACCTGCCATTATTGTAATTTCCATCATAACTGCTTCCCATAAACTCCATGTTGATCAACAGCGAAGCAAGAGCGTGATACTGTTTCCATAGAAACACAACCGAGACGATACATATTTAATGGTAACACTCGTCTGGGACAGATGCCACGGTCATGCATGAATAAGCGATAGAATAAATGATAAATAATCATCTCAGAGCCAGGCAAATGTTTTGAAAAGTACTGGCAGAAAAGTAGTGCCATAACTTTGCGTTCTGTTTGGAGCCAAGATGGCGCTACAGCGTCTCAGGTTCCACACGCATGACGTCATCGAAAGGCGCCCGTAATTCTTCGCGCATGCGCAGTTAACTGACCTTCTCCGTGCGGCTGCGGGCTCGTCCTGCTGCAGACGAGGACTTTGTGTTGTGTTGTGTTGTGAACTGTCAAACTCATTTTGGTTAGTTTCGGTGAACTAAAAGTCGCACCATGCCCGGCGTGGTTGAGGTTCCGACGTTGCGGGAACTGAACGTCGAAGAGGTAACTTTACGTCTGAAAGAATGGAAACACAACCAGGTGTTAGCCTGAAGCTGCAGGAGTAGCACTGGTAACGTTAACCTGTGAAGTTCATTTAAATGTGTTCAGCTAGTATTGCAGTGTATGCTGGTTAGTTAAGATCAGAAAGAAAGCATAGATTTGAATGAACTGGAAACTGATGTGTTGGCGAAGTTACATTGGTGTTGTTTTTAGCAGCTTGCTAAGTGTCAATGGCTTTCATATTTTGTGGTAACGTTGCTATATTTCTCTCTCTCTCTCATTCTCTCGCGTGTGTTTGTGTGTGTGTGTGTGTGTGTGTGTTATTAAGGGTAATGGGTAACAAATCAAACTAACATGGACAGCTTTTGTCATATTATAGCAGGCTTTTTATACGCAGTATGTTATTGGGTGAAAAGGCATGCCATGTGATCCATATTATATTGGAGATTAATATCTAATGCAATAGCAAGACTTCACATCAGACATGGTGCTTTACTAGTCATTTCTCTTTAATGTCATGCATTAAATTAAAAATAATGCTTTCACTTAAAGGTGAATCATTTTGTCCTGCATTATATGTGATCTCAGGACTTTGCTGTTTTCTTTGCAGGTCAATGTGTCGTCAGCCGTACTGAAGGCGGCTGCTCATCATTATGGTTCTCAATGTGACAAGGCCAACAAAGAGTTCATGCTGTGCCGCTGGGAGGAGAAGGACCCCAGAAAGTGTCTGAAAGAAGGGAGGAAAGTCAATGAATGTGCATTCAACTTCTTCAGGTACTCAACACTTTTATCTGTTTGTCCTGACTTTTGCTTCAAAATCTTTAAGATATGTGTTAATTATGAGCACATTGTATTTGTGAAGCAATCTGCACACTTTTTTTTTTTTTTTTTTTTTTTACAAATTAGAAATTCCTTTGGATTTTAATTCTCAGTATTTATCATTCTAAAATGACCTATTCGGAGATGCTAAATAGAACAGAAGAATACAGAGATGTTTTGCAGTATATCGGAATGAAGTAAACTTGTGATTGTTGTGATATGACTTGAAATTCCTTATTTGCATAAAGGTAATGAGGAGTAAAAAATAAAAAGAGAAAAAATAACTGCTAATGCTCACGAGTCACTATTGCGTGTTTTTGTCATTAATTTTTTTAGATGTTTTTCTCACCACTAGCTAAGTTAAGCAAACAGGTGAATTACTGTAGGCTTATGTTTTCATATTGTCATGCATCTGCACTGTGACCATTTTCTGTCATGAATGGGCAAGTGTATGGAAGGATAAGCTTATAAAATACCAAAATTTGATCATGTGGATGAGATGTGTTACAAACAACGGTAACATATTCCATGTACTAGAATCAGAATCTAAGTAAACATAGGACACCTGTTTTTTCAGTAGAACAAAAACTGTACTGACCTACCAAATAAGCAGGTGTGACACAAGAAGCGACGAGCAATGCTGCATTTTGCCAGTAACTGTTTTGCAGCGTTGAGCTGAGTAGCACCATCAACAGCATACGCTGTACATCCAGCGGATATTCTCCAAAATGGCACCAGGGTGATGAGGAGGAGACGAATTGTTGAATAAAGTCGTTTTTTTTTTCTTTTGCGCACAAAAAGTATTCTTTAAAAGTCACTAAACCAAAAGTCCTGCTCTTTATTTATATTACCCTTGTGCTATGCTGAAAATATTCCAATCTACTTTGGTATTCACAGGTTAGAAATGCCCAGCCTTTGAAAGATTCCTTGTAAATCAATCTCTTATTTTTGCTATATTATCACCAAATCTTGGATTCAATCCTTCTTTTAGTTAGCACATTAGTGGTATTTAATTTTGGAACTGATTGATCATAGGCCTTATTGATCTACACTTATGCCCCTCAGTTTATGAGTGAAAAAAGCATTGTTTGTGAATAATTTTGTAAATGTTTACTGAAAAACTGAGGTGCATAAGCTCAGATCAATGAGGCCTATGATCAATCAATTCCAAAAAGAAATACAAAACCTGTTCAAAACCTGTAATTGAAAGGGAAAAAAATGAATCCAATATTTGGTAATAATATAGTATAATGAGAAATTTATAAGCAATTTGTGTAGGTGGGTTATTTTTTAACAGGAACACTGGGGAGTATAACAATGTGGGGGGAAGTTCTAAAAAAATACAAAAAATATCAAAAACGTTGGGAAGTTGTTGTACCCTGTGTGAACAGAGTCATTAAGTTTTAGACGAATGCGATAACATTTAAAGTGATTGTTCACCTAAAACATTTTGTCATTATTTATTCACCTCATGTTGTTCCAAACTTGTATGAGTTTCTTTCTTCTGTTGAACACCAAAGATACTTTGAAGACTGTATGGGGGAAAAAAATACTATGGAAGTCAATTGGGACCAGCAAATATTTGGTTACCAACATTCTTCAAAATATCTTCTTTTGTGTTCAACAGAAGAAAGAAACTCATACAGATTTGGAACAAGGTGGAAGGTTAGTAAATGATGACTACATTTTTATTTTTGGGTGAACTATCCATTTAACTGGCATTTTTGGGAAAATGAAAACCCTCTCCTGGTCAAAAATGACCACAACACATTTTGAGGGTTAAACCTGAAACATTTACAAAAACCAGTTATAAAAGCAGGAATCATTTTCATATTTTACAACAAATGCAACAAGAACAACAACAAAAAAAGTTGCTGTGTAAAGAAGCATTGTGTGTCGTGGATATCAGGTATGTGTTTTACTTTGCTTTTCAGGTATGCCATGATTCATTATGACTGGTTAGGACACAGTGTAAGCCCCACTGTTAGCATGTAATTAAGTTTTTTTTTGTTTGTTTTTTACATCACATATTGCTTGACCCTCAGGCAGATAAAGGGGAACTGTGCCGAGTCCTTCACAGAGTACTGGACCTGTCTGGATTACTCTAACCTGGCTGAGCTGCGCCATTGCCGCAAGCAGCAGAAGGAGTTTGATAACTGTGTGCTGGAGAAGCTGGGCTGGGAGAGGCCAGAGCTGGGAGACCTGTCCAAAGTGGGTCAATATATCCGTTGCTTTATTTTAAAATCAACCAATTTATATTAGAAGCGGTTTCCATGTCTGTTTAGTCTCCTGGACCATATCCTGTACTTTAAACGTTTGACCTCTCCCACAGGTGACCAAGGTGGCAACCTCTCGGCCCTTGCCTGAAAACCCCTACCTTTCAAGACCAAGACCTGAGCCCAATACTCCAATTCAGGCTGAGCTACAGCCATCCAAGCACGGCAGCCGCTTGTTCTTCTGGAACTGGCAAAGAGGGGCAATCGCTGTCCTATTAATATCATATTCACCATCTACGTGCTTCTGACCAGACGAGAGACAGTGTGCAAGTGGTTGCACTGTAATCCTTATGTATTGTGTAGAAATGTTAATAAATTGTTCATTCAAAACATGTTATCGAATTAAAAAGATTTAATTTAAACTTAGCTTCAGTTTGCTTTTTGTGTACTTTATATAGTTTTGTACTTTATAGTTTTGAAGAATGTTCTGGGTTCAATACAATTCAATGTATTCTGTCAATGACCACAGACAATAATTTGAGCTGTAAAGTTGTCCTATTGTTACAGGTCAGTAGTTCTCAGGATAATTTAAACGTATTTAAATTAATAAATTATTATTCAAATAATTAAGCAATCGTGTGTGTGTGTGTGTGTATATATATATATATATATATATATATATTAGGGCTTGGCCGATAATACGATAATGCTAATTGTCGCGATATAATTTTCCTCGATAAAACGATAACAAGAGTTTGATAAATGTTCGATATAATGTTTATGCGCCAAATATAATGTTTATGCATTTATGTTTATGCTCATTGCCCATATTTTACATGTATTTTTCCTTTACTGCCATCTAACCCTCACTTAAAGTTAACCTTTCAAAGCTTAATAATGTAATAGCACTGTTAAATGTAATCTTTAACAAATATGATTATACAAAAGCTTAAAATGGCAAAGCAGTGTATTTTAATGTTTATTCTAATGCGATGCCTTTACCTAATATAGGCTTCCACTGAAAGTGTATTACTCAAAATCTGTTAGTTTATAAACTGACCGATGAGTCTGCCACGGATAGCACAAGCTTGTATTGAATCTAGAGATTAAATACGGTTCTGAATTTGGAGATACACGTAGCCCAGGTACTATACTCTGTCTGTGTTTTCTGTAACAGTGTTGTGGCTGTGAGAAGTGTTCATACAATCACGTATTCACCCTTATAGCTTGATAAAGGTGCTTTCATTCATTCATTCACCTGGCCTGCTGTTCTGGCCAGACATCACCCCCTGTTTTAATCCAGCGCTATGGTGTGTGTTTCAAAACCAAATTGTGGCTGTGTAGTGTTATGGACCTCAGGGGCTGGAGACTCAGTCCCCTCGGGTAAAGGCCAATTTCCCCCAGAGCTCCCTCCTCACTTCCTTACCAGCCCCTGGAGCAGGACCGTCTGAACAACACTACAAGTTCAAAGAGTCAGTAGTGCACAGCCAGAGCAGCACAGGTCAATTGGCCCTACAGGCAACAGCACTGCTGTCTTAAGTAAATAAACCTGTGTGCAAAGCTCCATTTTGCAGCGTATTTTCATAACAGGTTTTCGAATGTCAACCTTTGACGTGCAGGTAAAAGACGCTCATTGTCCCATTAAAATGGCACTGTATCATTCTCTTATCAATGTGGAGCGTTTTCTGGGAGGTCCCACATGTGAAATTTAATCAAACTGTGGAACTAAATTTGTTATTTTTTTTCCCTCATATGTGCAAATTTAGCTCAAGAGTCGCTCTTGCCCCATACAAGTCAAACGTCACTTTGAATGAAATTCGTACTCTTTGAAGAACATAAGTAAGCTGATGTCAGATTGCAGCCTGAGAGGCACTGCTGAATTTGCTTTGACATTTCCTTGGCTAGAGAAATTTAATAGAGCAGGGCCAGCTTTGTGCCAGTAACAGGAATTATGGGATACGAGCCCTGCGGGTATCAGATCAAGGGAAGTATGACACATATAAAGAGCACCAGTTAACACTGGGGCAAAACAATAAATGTAAGCTTACAATAACAAGATATTTAAGTTATAAAACAAGGTTGCCTTATGTTCAAATGTTTTACAATAGGGTCAATGCTAAAATGACCAGGTCCTGGGATAAATTTAATGGGGTCTCTCTGGTTGAAGCTCACTGGCAATGACTCTTAGTATAGTAAACTGTGGTTTGAGATAAAATAAAGCAATAAGCTATGAGAAGGCATCCATTACAGTGACTTCAGTGCACATGGAAGGCATGATATAAAGCAGTAGCAGGAATATGATCAAATAAACATGTCCAATAAATATTTTAATTTATTAATCATCATTTTCATTGACAGATAATCAGTGTTGTTTTAGCATCGAGATACTACTTTAGTTTTTATTAATATTTTAAATTAGTTTTTATTTTTAGATTTTCCATTTTAATTTTAAAGTTAGCAATTTTGTTGTAATTTGTATTCGTTTTTTTAAAACTCCACCCTTATGACCAAAGCTGCAAGAGCAAAGAGACAAAATATTCATCCTGGCAGTCAAAATTTTAATGCTTAGCCAGTCAAGGCCAAGTTTTTCTTCTTGGACTCACAGTTAGTTAAATTTCATGTCAATCATTAATGGTGTTTGCTAATGTACACATTACTAAATTCTAGTCATACAACTTAAGTAGAGGTTCAAATTTAAATGTACACTTTTAGTGGACAATTAAACACAACTATATGCTATAGGCTATAATTGGAGTGACTCAATCCATATCTAAAAACAGACCAGCTAAAACGTATTCCCAAAACCATTAGAATGGACCAACATGTTGTTGCTGTTTGGCCTGATGTTTTGTCTAAATCCATAAGTGGCTATTTTCCTTTGAACATCTATTTGTGATGTGGTTCAATTAAAGGAATAGTTCTCCAAAAATGAAAATTCTTGTATGACTTGCTTCTGCAGAACACAAAAGAAGATATTTGAAGAACACTGGGTTCCAAACAACATTGGACCCCATTGACTTTCAATGGAAGACATTTCTCCAAATATCTTCTTTTGTGTTCCACAGATGAAAGAAAGGCAACGTTTTTTGGAGCTATTTTTGGGTGCACTATCCCTTTAAGGTCTAGCAAGTCAAGCGCCATTGTTGTCACTGAGCCAAAAGTGTTTAATTGCAAACTTCCCCCTATATATTCAAAGGTGCGGAGTGATCCACCGTCTCCTGCAGGAAACGTAGACAGTGGTCGCGGTGACCTGGGCCGCTTCGCAGGTCCACGCAGGGAGGCTGGAGTCTGGAGGCAGGGCCCGGGGGCTCGTGGCAGCACTAGTTCAGACCTCAACAAAGGAAATGGAGGTCATTGTTGGTCGACTCTGCCCCAGCGCAGGAAGCACGCTTTGGCAGCGGAAAGAAATCCAATACTGGACTTTCACAAAGCAACAGCCTGCACGGGAGTTCATGGTGCTAAAACACTCAAACAAACTAGCTCATTCTCATTCCCATACTGTCAATATTCCTATTGTTCGCCGCTGACTTTGACAGGATCAAATACATATTTGAGGTAGCGATGTGCACAAACCGTTTGTTGCCTGGCGTTAACTTATCGTTCAGTCATAGTACACAATGTTTTGAAGCATGAGCTATGACCTGTTCGGCGATCCCCCAGAACCTGGACCTGCTGCCCGCGTGATATGTTGAAACAACCTTTTGATTGTGGTTTTGTCTTGGTGTACGTGGCTTGCTGTAGTTTTAACTCTTTGTTGCATCTGTTTACGACAAGACCGCATGTTATATGTTTACTTGAGGCTTTCTCCTCGTCTCTGATCTGGCGTGTTGAGAGGCGCTTTCATGTTTCCACTTAAAATGGCCTCTCACTCAAGTGGCTTTGAACTCACATGCAGGTCTAAGTAAAATACACAGTCTGTAGACAAGCGCTCCAGATGTCACTGTGTGTAACAATACATGCATATTGCAGGATAACGCAGCACTTGATCCATACCATAAGTATAATGGGCCCTGTTTTTTAATGGGATTAATGTCATGTGTTTGACAGGACAGACTGATTTTACTCATGCACACATGCAAACTCAAATGGCGGTTGGCAGAATACAAGAAACACATTGAACACCTTGACAGTCTCCACCAAAAAAGTACTATGACTGTAATAAAGTACAACTGTGGTACAATTTTGAGATGCTCATGCTATGGTACCATTTGATTATCCAATTCATATGGCATGCTGTTTACATGGTATTTCATAAGATATAGTTTTACCATCATTACTAAATAAAAAAGTACCATGGTGATGTCATGGATTTTTAGACAATTAATGGTAATAGCATTGTAATCTTTTGTAATACTTGGAATATGTACATATCGTGGTAACCATTCAGTACCATGGCATTTATCAAAATATCAAGATTACCATCAATAGGATGGTATTGTCATGATATTTGGACATATAGCATGTTGTACCATGGTATTCTTAGAAGCACCTTGGAGTACCAAGATATTGTGGTCATGAATTTATAATTTGTTCCCACAACTTCTTAATTTGTTTTCTTGTTTTAGGTAAATCAGGGCAGCACACTAACTGGTCGTTTAAAACGAGGGAACAAATTAGTATACAGCGTAGCCACAATTTAACCAAAGGTAAGGAAGAAGTTAGTAAAACATGGCCACGATTTAACTAAAAAATGGAATTAATTAATAAAACATGATCATGAATTAATAAGTCATGGGAATTCTTAATCCATAGCTACAATATACATTTTTTCCTCACATGTCATGTGTGAAGCTCTATATCGAAATTGCTCATAAGTAGTCTGGTAACTTTTAAACCACTGTTTCTAAACTGGTTTATCATCAGAGCACAAATTTTTACATCGGAGATCATACAACTCTTATCATACTAAGTTAATAACACTTTTTATGATATGAGTCCTTTCAAATTTGAAAGCTTTAGTCCCCACTCATTGTAATTGAATGGAACAGAGCAACCACATACTTCAAAAGGTCTCCTTTTGAGATTCACAGATGAAAGTAAGTCAAAGGGGTTTGTAACAACACGTGAGTAAATGATGACAGCATTTTTATGTTTAGATGAACTGTCGCTTAAAGTGGCATGTGTAAGATCATTACAATACGCACTCTTCTACTCTATGGATGGATACACATTGTACAAAATAATGGTGGTTAGAATGATAATGGTCTTAAATATATCAATTAATGTAAAATAAGTTGATGTTGTTGTGAAAGTTAATAACTAAATTCCACCAAGCTTTTACCTCAGCTGACACACGCACCATCCTTGGACCTCCTGCGGTGATTTAGCATGTAAATTTCCGGTATATCCTTTCAAAACAGACACTTTCCGACATCTGATAACTAATGGCCACTTCGCTCTTTGAATTCCAAACAGCGTGTGA